ACGCGGCCCAGTTATGAATCAACCTTGTCCTCCCGCTCCAATGCGGGAAAATGGGATGATGAATTCATTTCCATCACCACACTGCCCATAAGTCATGGCTTGAAGGCCTTTTTTTTTCTTTTAGAGTTTCCAATGACAAAGATTTCATTATCCGAAGCAATAATTTTTACCCAGAGCAATGCAAGATTTCACTCCACCTGAATTAGGCCCATATGTGAGAGGGCAGCCCAGCCCAGAACACGGTGTCTGGGGGCAAAGGAGGGTGGCGAGGGGGAGGATTGGTATCCTTCTACGTACTTGTGCCTCCCCTGTTCTTCCGAACACTTCTCAGTGTGGGCGTTCACTTGCTTTGTTCTCAGCCTGCTCCCCTGGAGCCTGCCCATCTCCTTGTCACTCAGCACCCTCCACCATCCTCTCCGCAGGAAGCAGCCCCTCCTGACATCCCTGTTCTGCCTGCCTGTCCTCCCTCCCCTGCTTCCCATCACCCACCCACATCAGAGCCAGGAGGGGCAGAGAATCACCAGCAGGATTTTCACATGAAAGCCACAGGGCTTTCCTTCTAAATGGAAAAGGAATTTCAAAACCTCTGCAGCACAGAAGACACCAGGAGGGGGTTGGGGGGCCTGACTCATTCTAGCTCTGGATGTGCCCCCTCTGCCAGGCCCCGCCTTCCTCCCTGTTAGTTTTCACAGGGGGCCTTATTTCTCCAAACCCAAAGTCTAAAGTCAGGAGGCATAGATAGGAATCTGAAGAAGGAAATGTGGGGGCCTTCTACAGCAGCCCAGGAAGGGCCAGGACAGAGCCCTCTGCTCTCAGCTGTCCTGGAAAATAGTAATTTTGAAGGGGGGTGGTTCAGGGACTGGCTGGTTTGTTTGGGGGGCTGGCCTGGAAAGACCAGGAGCCCTGCTGGGTAGGGCTTACCCTGTGATAAGACTGGGGTAACTCTGACATCCCCCACTGTCCACATCCCAACCCCACTGAGCCTCCTGCCCTACCTGCTTCCTGGTAATGACTCTGCCACCATCAGTTCAGGGGCAGGCCCAGGTCAACTCACTCGTGACAAAGCCAAGATGAACCCATGGTGTCAGATTTGACAGAACCATGTGCAGCCAATCTGCATTTAACAGCAACTGTTACCCATTAAATACTGACCAAGCACAAAAGATAAAATAAATGCATCAAATACATTTTAACTCCTCACAGAGCAAATGCAAAGTAAGGCTGATATTAACTACCAAAATGATGAAGTTTCATATCACTGCCCTACATCCACATATGGGTAGACTAAACGCCACGGAAGAGGCTCAGACAGTTACGTCAGGGCGAGGGAGGGAGAACTGGGGGTTGGAATCTTCATAGACGATGCGGTGTTAGGGTGTGGAGAAGTAATAATCCCAGAGGCTGCGAGAGTGGCAGAGGAGCAGCGTGTCCTCCAGGAGGGGTGGGAGTGAGGCTGGGGAGTTAATGGGGTCCCACTATTGAGCGTGGAAGCCCAGGCTGAAGGTCTGGACCTCACGAGTCCCCAGTCAATCACAAGGAATGCATCTCAAAGCCATCTTGGTCTCCCCAGTTCTCAGCTGCCACTATTATATCATTAACTCCTCCCACAAGATGCAGCCCATCATGAGCATGTGCATGGGGACATGGAAAGAGAAGACTGAAGGTCCGAGGTGCTGTGCCTGGGCTGGGGGCCTCTAGGTGTACTCGAGGGCTAAGAGTGGCCCCTGAGCCACCCCCAGCCTAGGTCCCCTGCAGCCCAACCCCCAAATTCCTGCCTCAACAACCTCACCAAGCACGTCAGGTCATGAATCTGGAGTCCTGGGTGAGCAGCTGGCGTTATGGATGATATATGTACATACGTGCTACGAGATGTATAGGTGGGCGGAAAGGTTTTTAAATAAAAAAATTTTCTTAGAGATGAAATTCATAATAACCATTTAAAAGTACACAATTCAGTAGCATTTAGTACGTTCATGATGTGCATCTACTACGTCTATGTAGTTCCAGAACATTTACATTACCCACAAAAGGAAACCCCATCCCCATGAGGCAGTCTCTCCCCATTTCCTCTTTTCCCAGCCCCTGGCAGCCGCCGATCTGCTTTCTGTCTCTATGGACTTACCTATTCTGGATGTTTCATGCAAGTAGAATTGCACAATATGTGACCTTTAGTGTCTGGCTTCTTTTACTTAACATATTTCTGAACTTCATCCCTGTTGTAGCACGCATCAGAATTTCACTCCCTTTTACTGCTGAATAACATGGCATTGTATGTAGGTGCCACACTTTGTCTATCCATTCATGTGTTGATAGACCTGAGTCCCTGCTTTCAATTCTCTTGGGCACATGCCTAGGAGGAGAATTGCTGGGTCACACAGTAATTCTATACAGCATTCTTTATGACAGATGGCCAGACGTTTTTCCACAGGGCTGCATCATTTTACATCCCCACCAGTGGGACAGGTTCTGAGAAAGACAGCAGTACAGGATCCATCTGACCGTCTGCATGATGTGGATCAGGGCTGGGGTGGTTGCTCTGAGGTTCCTATCAGTGCTTCCAGAGATCCAAGCCCTCCCGCAGCCTAGGGCGCAGAGCAGTGTGCAGCTGGGAGCTGGCTCTCGGAGTCTAAAGTGTGAAGGGGAGGGAGGGAGGATGGAAGGGATGAAGTGGGAAGACTAGGGAGGTGGTCACTGTGACAGTTCTGGGTCCCACCACAGTCACACTGAAAATCAAAGTTGAGCCTTGACACTACACAGCTTTCCCGCTTGGGCTCTATGGGAGGCAGGGAGCTACACTCTGCATATCCCATTACTGGAGACTGGGCTCCGACATGACATGAAGAACATGGGAAACACGAGGAACATGCTGTAAATCACTTACTGGCAGCCTACTGCCTCCCAGCCACGCCCAACCCTAGTGAGATGGCGCAACAGTTCAGGGTTTCCACACCAGCCTGGACCAGGCTTTCAATCCAGGTGCCAAGATCCTGACCTGGGAACTGAAACCATGTGGGGAAAGCACTGCGGGGCCTGACTCACCCCGTCCTCCAGCCAGGAGCAGCGCCCCAGAGTCGTCCCCTGGCATCCAGCCCACCTGCCCCGGGCTGCAAGGAAACCCCTTTGCCCCTCCACACCTGCATCTTCCCCCACTGGAGAAATGGTGACGCCTTGGCCTGAACAACCCCTCAGGATCCCCGGCATATTCCAGATGTATCTCTGATTCACGAAATTTTCCCATAGTGCTGGTTCTCCTCATTTGGCCCCAGTGAGAAACAATGAAAGGAGGTGGCCAGTTCCACAAGGCCCTGTGGACAGGAGGCTGGGTGTCCTGCCACCCCCACGAGGGAAGTATTCAGGAACATGTAGGAGTTCAAGCACAACTAGCATGCCTTCAACTGTGCGACATGAGGTACAGCCACCCCGGAAGCAAAACCCAGATTAAAATCAAACTAAGAAGGAAAGTGAAATAATAGGCTGTCGGCCTGTTTTCTGCAAGGTCATCCCCTCAGGATGCCTTTACATGCTTTTAGTGGGTTTGCATCTCTGAACACTTTCGCAGCTCCCCGTACTGTCTGAAGCAGAGGCTGATGTGTGCAGTCTTGCTTTAACTGCTTTAACTGGGTGGACCTTCTCGGTCCCCTGGCTTGGCTACAAAAGCAAGCCCTGGTAGGAGGTGGGAGAAGGAAGGGAAAGAGTACGGGAGCTGGGGGCTAAGAGGCCCTGGAGACCCCAACAGAGCTCTGGCTGGCACCAAAGCTGGTGTGTGTCCTCCCGATAGCCTTTCCCACTTCTGGGCCTCAGTTTCCTCCTTTTTACAGTGAAGACATCACACCAGATGAGCACTGAGTCTCTCTAGCTCCAATGTTCTAGGCTGTGGGTCTTCGTGGAACAGCTGTATACTCACAAAGTTTTGGGCAGCCAGTCCCAGTTCCAGCCAAAGCAAGTCCCCCTCCCATCCCCTAAAGAGCAATGATGTGCCACGGTCCCTCCATCAGCTGAGCAGAGCACTCAATTCCTCATCTCACCTATGCTCTTTGATCTGAGGGTCCATGCAAATGGTTCCCTTTTAAGCACACAGGGAATGTTGTCCTGCCATATGAACTGCATTTGACACAGCAGTGATCCTGAGGTACCCAAAAGATGATTGTTGTAGTGAAGCAAAAGATCAATATATCCAACTACTCCATTCGTTTACCAAATATATCAGCTCTGACAGCTTTGCTGTGAGGTGTAATGTTGAGGGCTGGGTTGGGGAAATCAACTCTTTCTTTATTATGCAGAGGTTAGCCTGTAATCCCTCTTCAGACTTACTGCATGTGGTAGTCTTATCTCTCCAGATTCACATTTCCTAATCAGAATCCTTACATAATAATCCCATAGTGCCTAGGACAGGGTTGGACACTATGGATAAGTGGATAAGTGTATGGATTAGTTTCCAAGAGTGTTCACTTACCTGTACCTGCAAAACAAACCACCCATGGCTCAGTGGCTTACAACAACATGATTTATCATTTCTCACGAATCTGTGGAATGACTGGCCTCAGCTGGGTGGTTTGACGGGGCTCATTCAGCAGCTGGTCTCTTAGCCTCCAGAGCCTCTCCCCCATGTCCCTGCATTATTCAGTGGTCTAGCCTGGACCTCCTGACAGCATGGTGGCTGGGTTCCAAGTGGAACTGTTCTGAGAAGACAAGCCTAGTGTGCAAGCACTTATCAAACCTCTGCTTGCACCATGCTTGCTAATGTCCCATTGTCCAAATAAAGCCACATGGCCAACCCCAAAGTCAATGTCGGAAGCACCACACAAAAGTGTGAATTCTGTGAGATGTGGCCCATTGAATGCCACCAAGGCAATAATCTACCACAGCTGGTGAATCCCCCTGGTGGGTTCAGAGCCATGATACCCTGGGCTATCCTCCAATCTCCCAGGGAGCTGGAAGACAGGCAAGTTCCTCAGCAGAGAGCCATCTCCCAGAGAAAGTGAAGAAGTCAGGTCACTCACTCTCCTGGTAGGGTGGAATGTTCCTTGAGTCCCATCATAGTCCTGTTCAAATCCAGCAAACAGCATCCTGGAATGTCTTTTCAGATTCTGGGGAAAGAGAGGTGCCTGTCACTCAAATTCCCTCATTCACTCACTGAACACTGCTCTCATGGGGCACTCAGGGGATCAAGGTGTATCAAAGCAATCCCTGCTACCAGCAGTCGGACAAAATTATGTGCATTTCTCCCATGTTCTTCTTGGCCATGGGGATTCCTTTTTCCACTGGAGAGGAACAGTGCTATGCAGTGGTTAAGAACATGGACCTGTCAGCAGATGGCTTGGCTTTAGGTTCCCACTCTGCCACACACCAACTCTGTGAACCTGCCCAACCTTCCTGAGCCATGGTTCCCTCACCTGAATTCTCATGAGCGTTAAATCACTTAATCCATGTAAAGCACTCAGAACAGAGCCTGGCATAAAATAAGCACCAGGCAAGCATTTGCTAATGTTATTCCTGATGAATCCCTGCATAAGGAACTTTTTTCAAATTACAAAAATAATATATACTCCATGTAAAAAACAAACCAACCTTGCAGTATCTGAAAAAAGGGGGGGGGGACACATAATCCCTCCATCCAAAGGGACTCCTACTAAACCACCTGTCACGTGCACTCAGTGTTTTTTCATGAAATGTGCACTCAGTGTTTTTTCATGAAATATGTACATATATCCACTCTTTTCTTTACAAAAAACTATCTCAAGCTATCCATAGTTTGTAGCCTACCAGTTAAAATTTAACATGTCAAAAATGTTGGCCATAAATATTATTCTATTTGAATTTGATGTTACCGTCTACATGTATTTCATTATGTAACCCATCCCTTACTGTGGGACAGGTATATGATTTGTGACTTTTCACAAACAGAAGCAATGCTGTGATGAATGTCTTCATACACACCCTTGATTATGTCCTCAGAATAAATTCCTAGAAGAAGAAATGCTGGGTTCACAGCGAATGCCCAGTTTTAGGACTGTAAGATTCAGATACTGCTGGATGGCCTGGAGAGAATGGGCACACCTAGAAGGCACAGTAGGAGAGGAACCTGCATGTCCTCTGTGTCTTTGGACTGCCTTTTTCTCACTGGGGAGCTGCAGCAAGTCAGGAACATCCTTCTGTGGTGTGACCTCCTCTCCCCAGCAAGCAAGGCCAGAGCCACCTTCCAAGCCCCAGGTGCCTTCTGCCTGTCTGGAACCACTAATTACCCCAGGTTTCCACCTGGCCTTCCTGCACTCTCTCTACACATGGTGTTTCCCTGGCTTCCACATTTTCCTTTAGCAGGTGACCCCAATACACATACCCCACTCTGATGCCCATCTCTAGCCCAGACCTGTATCTTGGCCTGGCTGTCCCACAGGATCCTCAAACTCAGCCCAGCCTAATCCCATCTCCTTGTCTGCTGTCCCATAACCTGCACCTGCCAGCTGTTTGAGCAGGTGTCAGAGCTTCGGGCCAGGCAGCCTGAGTGAGGACAGTTCTGCATTTACCAGCTGGGTGATCATGGGCAGATGACTCGACCCATGGAGCTGTGGTTTTTCTTAGCTGTAAATTGGAGACTATAATATGGGCCTCTCGGGGCTCAAAGGATTCAGTGAGGTGACAGCAGGTCCTGGCAAAGTAAATGCTTAATAAATGGTAACAACAGCAATAATGATTGTTATTTTTATACTTACTACCCAGTGATTCAACTGGAAACCTCATACTCACTCTCCCTTCTCTCAGGGTCTCTGCTCTTCCACAAACCCAGGAAGTGAACCTCAGCAATGACCCCTGAACCCCACCTGCCCGGCTCCTTGTACATATGCAGCACGTGGTCTCCCTGCCTCCTCCCCACCCTGTGGCCAGCACATACCAGATGCTTGGACAGTTGCCTAAATGACAAGTACACTGGTCCCAAGCTGTTATGAGCTGTGTGACCCAGCAGATCACATGCTCTCTCTGGTCCCTGCTTCCTCATCTGTAAAACCATTGCCAAGGGCCCTCACAGCTGGGAAACTCTGTGATCCCCTCTCCCTTGGCTGGTTCCTTGTCCCAGGAAGCAAGGGAGCCTGTCTGCATCACCCAGGCAGGCAGATTCTGAGCGGGAGAGCAGCAAGATGACAGCCACATAGATGATTCCTCTTTTTATCTGCTAAACCATCAAAACCTCCCCAAGATTTCTGGACTACTGTCCCTTGGCTGGCTCAGAAATTTATTAGCTCCACCAATATTTTCTTTCGTAGTTCTGTAAAGCAAGCTCAAACTCAGCAAGCACTGCCTATGCAAAGACCTTAAACCACATGTTTATTTTCCTAAGCTATAAAAAGTTTATAGGGGGAGCTGGACTTCTTGTCCAGCACCATGCTCAGAATTGCTACTGCATTCCACAGGAAGACAGAGGGCTCTGTGTCAGCCCAGGGGGTGGGAGGGAAGTAGGTGGAGTATAGCTGTCCAGCCCCGAGTGGAAAAGGAACAGGGCACAGGAAGGGACAACCAAGTGGTAAATTTATGGGGGAGCGGGGGCAGTGGAGAGGAAGGATGAGGGGAGACTAGAGTGTGGTTGCAATGTGGTTTATCCCAGCATCCTGCCCTTCAGGTCTCTCTCCTGCTGAGGCAGCTTTGGGACACTGAGTCAGCAGAAGCACTGAGTCAGCCCTTCTGATAGGCCTTTATCCTAGAATATGGAGTCTCTGAACTCCAGTCTGAACAAGTCTCTTGACGCTGGAATAAACTGGCAAGAGGAGACACCTTTACTTAGTTGCCCTCTAGTTTCCTAACAATCCCAGCCCACCTGTTTACTTATTTCCACCCAGTGCAGTGCTTCGTGAGAATCAGATGCCACAGAGCATTCAGACACTGTTTGCCAGCGTGGCATTTCTGGGGTCCTTGACACAGACTGAGTCTCTAAGAGCAGAAGAATGCAGGTCCAGGTTCTCCACTGGGCTGGTGCCAAGATCTTTAAGTGAACGACACCTTGACTGGTTCCTGGACCCCAACATCTACAACAGCCTTCTGCCACAACCCTGTAAATCTCACTGAGTCTGAGTCCTTGGTCCTCCAGGCTCATTTCCCACTGTCACCCATCCTGGAACCTCAAAAGGGTCATATCACAGAAGGAAGGAAACAGTGTGTGAAGGCCCTCAGGCCTCACTCCAACTGCATGGATTTGAGCACTGGAAGAAGTATGGGCAGGACCGGATGACCTTCAAGGTTTGTTCCAACCCTGAAATCCCAAGATTCTTAGGAACAAAAGGAAACTGCCATTTGCTCAGAGCAGTGATTCTCAACCTTCTCAAACTCAACACCTCTTTTCCATTATATATCATGATAGTCCCTTATTATCCTGAAGTGAAAGTAAAAGGTAATATAACATAGTTATGCTAATATTTTTAAGAGTCAACATCTTAATAAAAAGAAAGCAATTTATGATAAGTCCTACTGAAGCACAGCACTACACCTCCGAATGAACTCCCTGTGCCAGCTATATCACCAATGTAGAGTGATGAGGTGAGTCATACTGGGATTGAAAAACTATCAGTGGCATCGCTATCAGAGACAAATTTTTCCTATATAATGAATACTGAAGTATAATCTCAATTTACATACCGGTTGCATTCCTGTGAAATTCAACATACTCTAAAACCATGCAAAAATTAATTTGTACTGTTTTCTAGCATAAGATGATAAAATCAGGTTTTTCACCTCCAGAGCTGTCCAGCTAGTCATTTGACAGTTGGGTAAGGCACTGGACAATTCTTGATTTTGTAGGACAATCTCAAGAATGACATGGCATTGGGCATCCTTTGGCCGGCCTAAAAAGTGCTAGTGATGGCTCCTCAGTTGGGGGTATCACTCTGTCCAAAATGGCTGAATTAAAGCCTCCTCTCTGGCTAAAGACACAGGAGGCAGGAGATGGGGACACTGAGCATCACAGGGTTAAGGACCTGCAGGATTTGCCAGAACTCTACTATGGTTAACTGGAGCAGACACGGTGATACCTGTGTCAGGCCACTAAGGAATTCCCCTGACCAATGCCCTCTCCCCCCAGCTTTGTCTCTCATGTGGTCCTTGGTCTCCACACCAACCACAACATCTCAGGTTTCTTTATCTTACTCCCTGTTTAGAAACCTGGTTGCTGGCAGCCCTGGGGGCCTGGCCTTCTCTAGTCTGGGATGCTTTCAGATGAACCTGAATGCCCTCACTTTTGGACCAGATACTGTCTATGTGTCATTTTTGCAGTGGTTGTTCTGTTATCCCCATCCCAATTTAACCACAAAGCCACTTATAATCAAGAACTTGAACAGGTAAAAATAAAATAAAATAAAAAAAGAATTTAGCCACCTAGGCAAGTTGCTTTTCTGTGCCTCAATTTTCTCATATATAAAATGGGAGGAATATTATGGGGACAATAACCTCATAAGGGGGTGAGAATTACATTTTGATAATATTAAGGACCTCCCAAGCACAAATGTAGCGCATTACTACTCTTTTATTTTGTAGTAATAACGCTAGTTCAGTATATGAGGCAAATCCAATATGCCTGACCACAGCCCATCGTTAGCCTAAAAGGGACAGGAGGCCCCAAGAACCTGAGTCTCCCGCAGCCTGGACTGGCCAGCTGCATGCTCCCACACAGGCGCTGGCACGCAGGGGACATTCCCCACCTTCTGGAGACGAGGGCTCCCAACAGAAGGCCCAGGGCAGTCAGTGAGGGAACAGTGGAGGAGCTGGCTGTTCTTTCCTGCGGTCAGGACCAGGATCAGAACATTCATTTCAGGGTACAGTTCAAGAAGGAGCCTGCCCCAATCCATGGGCAATGACAAAAGCTGGGAGTATGAGTTTGGAAGTCGTAAAAAAGAGAACGAAGAGGCAACCTGAAACCAAACAAATGCAGGACCTGAGAGAAGGGGAACTGGCTGTTTAATTTGCTTTCGTGTCCTTCAGTGTTCAAATCTATCTCCCATTTCCACAGGCCTGACCCAATTACTGCCCCAGGCAGCAGGAAGCCGGCTCAAGACCCGCTCAGGCTGCTGTTTTCCCCCCACTCACCTGGTGCTGCCTGATCCTGACCTTCCTCCGTGGCCTGGCCGACCCCTCCTGCCTCTTCTAGGGCCCTGACTATTCCTCTGGCTGCCGTATGCTGGTCAAGCCGCTCATGGCCGTGAGAGTCCAAGGTAAGTCTGCCGGACACAGGCCCACCTGCGCGCCTCATGCGCGCCTCATGCGCGCCTCATGCGCGCCTCATGCGCGCCTCATGCGCGCCTCATGCGCGCCTCATGCGCGCCTCATGCGCGCCTCATGCGTGCTCACGCACACCCCGGCACGCTCATGCGCGTGCTTGCAGGCGTCCATCCTGCGTGCTCGCCTGCGTCCCCCATGCGAGCTTCCTGCGCATGCTCACGTCCAGGCGTGGTGCGTGCTCGTGAGCATGCGCAATGGGAGCAGGCGATCCGAGGCCTCCGCGTTGCCTGGTGCTTCTTTGAATCCCGCTGTTTTGGCGGTGGTTCGGGATGCGACGCTCGGCGCCTGGCTGACGATCTTGTGTGCTGGTGAAAGCCGCAGGTGAGGCCTTTCTAGGGCACCTAACAGGGCGGCCTGGCTTCATCTCTGGGAATTTCCTGCTGTGGCTGTTGTCAGCCGGTTCAGGTTTGTCGTCAGATGGCTTACCCCTGAGAAGAGGCCGCCAGAGGATGGAGGACCCCAAACACAGACTGAGGGAGACGGAAAGGGACGTTCCAGCTCATTCACCTGAGCCTCTCTGCTGGATCCCTCACTCGGACAGGGACGAGGTGGAGGAGCTGAGGCGAAAATTGATACCCAGCCATGATGGCACCGAAAAGAGCGTGTGCACACACAGAAAAGAACTTGGTTTTCCTGTTTTGAAACTAAATTATGTTGCGCCCCTGTTGAGGACCAGGTGATTCATATATTTTATGAGGTAGATACTGCTATCTCTATTTTACAGATGAGGAAATGATGACATAGGGCAGGTAGTTTGCCCAAAGTCACAGAGCTCTAACTGGCAGAGCTCAGATTTGAAGCCCAGTTTTTCTCCTACAAAGACTTTTTCAGCCACAACACGCAGCCTACCTCACCCCTTAATTTAAATGCTAAAGAAGTAACTGAGGCCTTCCTCTTCAGCAGGACTAAGGGTAGGGCACAGTTCTTGATTGGCACAGATTTTCAAGCGACATTCCTATCCCGAACACATTGATGGACACTGTGTTGCTTCCACCTTTTGGCTACTGTGAATGCTTTGGGATGCTACTATGGACATGGATCTCTACATATCTCTTGGATATCATGCATTCAGTACTTTCGGGTACAGACCTAGAAGTGGAATTGCTGGGTCCCATGGTAATTCGATTTTTATGTTGTGAGGAAACTCCACAATCCTTTCCACAGGCTGCACCATTTTATGTTCCTGCCAAGAGTGCATAAGGATTTCAGTTTCTCTACGACTTTGCCAACATATGTTATTTTCTTTCTTTCTTTTTTTTTTTTTGATAGTAGCCATCCTAATAGGTGTGAGGTGTATGATAAAGCTTTATCTGCACTTCTTTAAGACCTTAAATAACAGGCTTTAGTGGGGGGAGTCTAATGACTATCAAAATGCTGAAGTAGTGATAAAACTCAAAAATATTTCCTGATGTATGCATCTAATATGAAGATATATATGATTCTGCCATTGATAAGGACTCTATTTGAAAGGAATGCTAAATTTCAACTTAAGATGAGTGAAAATAAAGATGTTCTTATTATCTCATCCAAATTCTGGGAACCTCTGAAATCTTAACCTCAGGTTAAGAAAATCTGTGCTATACAAACGTTTCTAGGGGAAAAGCTAAAGGAAAAGGCCTGAGATTTATAGGCAGGGAAATGAGGTGACTGCAGGCTGACCTCATCCCATCTTGTAACTGTGACATGGCAGAATTACCCAGTGGATAAATTACCCTCCTTGACCCATGCCCCTCCTTACTCATTGGATGAACTCCAGCCATGACAGGAGTCCCTGAACAGGATTCACAAATCCAGTGGTCACACATTCTGCCTTCTACAGCCCCTCGTTGCCCATCCCTGCTTCTCTGGGCCTTGACCTTCAAATGCTCTAGAGAAAGTTAGCCTCCCAGGTTACATGGTTCCTTCTGGAAATCCCTGACTGAGAGGAGGTGAGGGGTCACTGCTGTTGGGAGGACCAACTGTAGGTACCCCTCCACTGTGAGAGATGAGGCTGAGACCAGGAAGGGCCTTTCAAAGCCCCAGAAGTCAACCACCCAGCCCTCCCAGCCACATCTTGAAGCATTTTTGCCATCAAGAAGGATCTGCATGCAAATTTCAGAATCCATCTGTCGGTTCTTTTTGCAAAGAGTGTTGGAACAGTGACATAAAAGGAAATCCAGAGAGACAGGGTAATGGGTGTGGACGACTGCTAATGGGACCTTCAAGTCCCTGGGCTGTCAGTCCTGTCTCCCTTAAGCACACATTTGGAGTTCCAGTTCAATGAGGTGGAGTTGTGTTCTGATTTGTTGATTTTTTTGGGGGGGGAGGGGGAGGACCACCAGAAAAAAACAAAATCAATTTTCTTTTGGATGCTTTGTTTTTTAAGAAAATAAATATTTTAATGATTTATATATTCAGTGAGAACAAAGGCTTATTTTCAAACACTAGGTATGGGGATATTATGAACAATTTTCCTCATATGCTCAAAATTATTTCGTTGTGTTCTGTTATACACAGTAGGTATTAGGAAAGGAAGAGTGATGCTGTTTGTGAACAGAGGCTATTTCTTTAAAACTCTGTTGCTGTTTAATCTTTCAACAATTTTTTCCTCCTCAAGATGGAATATCTACTTTTTATTTATTTATTTTCTGAAATACCTACTTTTTAAAAAGAAAATTAAACTGAAAATTTTAATAGTAATGCAGCTGGGTTGTCTGAATTTACAGCTTAGGAATCAAAATATAACCTCCAGTATTATCTCAGAGGGCAATGCTTGAGGCCCCAGCATATTGAGTCTATCAACCCTGTCCCTCCCTTCATCTCCCCTTCCTTATATGTCAGGGAAACTCCAATATGTCGACCTGGCTGTTTTCAACAGAAACTAGCTATGCAGGGAATTAGCCCCTCTGCCTGCGGCTACTGCCTTAGTACAGGAAGCACTGTGGCCATATAATATGGATCCTGAGCTCTGATCACGCCATTCTACTGGTTTTATTTTAGGCGACTTACTGCCCTTTCATGTCCCAGGACCACAGCCTGGGCTTTGGATTCGTCATGACTAATGTTCACATCTTGAAATCTCTAGGAGAGGTTAGAGTGTTATTGTAGTTTCTCCCAGAAGGCTCCTGAATTTCTTATGCAAATCTTATATCTTCCCAGTAAGTTTCAAGTTGATCATATGCAAACTGCCAGAGTAATCAACCTGCTATAGATAGTATATCAGTTATCTGTTGCTGCATAACAAGCTACCCCATAATTTAGTGGCTTAAAGCAGGAACCATTTATTTGCTCATGGATTCTACAGTCTAAAGGCTGGACTGAGGCTGAATAAATCAAAAAGAGTCACATGCCTGGCCCTTCAGCTGCTATGGCTGGAATAGAAGAGAGCTGGTGAGACCTTTATCTCTAGCGGGTAGTCCGACTTAAATTGGGTAGCTCAGAGCTCCAAGATAGCTGAAGCTTCTAGGCCACTTAAAGCCTGGGCTCAGAAGTTCCAGAATATCACTTTCTAGAAAGTCAGCCCAGATTCCAAGGAGAGGGAATAGAACTCTTGATACCCATAAGGAATGGGAAGAATTTTTCTTGGCTGTATTTGCAGACAATCTAGTCTTACCCCTGAACAACTTGCCATAAATGACAATTGCATCCCAAACTGGCAGGTTATGTGTCAGTGAGAGAGGTGATGTGCAGGGCTTGGGGCAATTATGGGGCAAGGTTGGGGGCAGGGGAGGACATCACTGTTGCTCTGAAAGACAGGGTCTCTGGAGCCCCTCTCCCATAAGCCAGCTTCAGGGCCTGGCTTTAGAAAGCCTTAGCAAAATTCGAACTGAAAACAAGGAAAAACCTTCAAAGGCTTTGGAAACCATTTTGTGCAGTATGAGTTATTGTCTATAAGTAGTTAATAGAGACACGATTTTGGTCAGGGTAATTCAGCCTGATCAAAGGCAGGAATGGGCCCTGCATCCCCTGGACCCTCCCCAGGGGTCTATAGTGGTCTATAGAGGTCTATAGTGAAATGGGAGACACAGCAAGCATATTATGTGGCAAACTGATTTTTGGCAAATCAGTCTGTTATCTTCAGAGCACTCTATAGTTTACAATGTGTTTGCTCATTTATTTAACGTGACTGATTTAAGTTCATCTCATAAACTGATAGCTCAGGCTCTAAATACATGATATTTTCATTTATCCACAGGCACTGTTTACCTTCAGTCAGACAGAGAAGGCCTAAGTGGGAATTTGGACTCATCTGAGTGTGTCTAGGAAGCCCATGGGAAGGGTCACCAGAAGCACTTGTGACTGCGGAAATGCAGCCCCTAGAAGAACACCCCCCAGGGATGAGGCAGCTAGATGGGGCCAACTTGAGCCAGTTACAAAAACACACGTTGGGTCAGAGAGTAGCTGCAGTGTGGAATAGAGTATGGGCTTAAAATCTGTCGTTCTGGTTTGTCACCTATGAAATGTCCATAGATTCCTTTCTAGTATCTAAGGAGATAGAAGGCTGAAGGGCAACAGAAGTGTTTCACTAATAAAATCTGGAAGCAGCACAGTGGTGGGGTCTTTGGCAGTCCCAAACAACAAAAGATGACCTGCTTACCCATGGGCTGTGTCTATGGGGACAACTCCCAGAAACACTCTTACCTCCTTCTTAAGCACATGGAGGTAAAAGTCAGAGAAATGTGGATTCTTATCGTTAATGGAGCCTCCATCTGTGCTAATTTTCTGGAGAGGCCTGGAGAGAGTGGGATCTCAAAAGTAAATAATTGGGCCTGGAAAAGAGATGTAAATAAAATCACAGCACATTTATTTACAAGTTGCTCTTCAGTGTTATGGACTTAAATCTCTGTTTAGCGTTTGAGATGCCAAAAAGGAAAGTGAGAAAACACCCTATTCACTTGAGTGATGGATCACCATGGATTTACCAGGGAATTATGGGATGCCATTAAGTAATGTATCCACTCTCTTAAAGATGAGGAAATTCTGGAGGTTAGAGCAGGACACCAGACATCAGAAGTCCCACAGGTAGGTCTGGTGCCCTCATGTCATCAGATGACTTGAAATTTCACTTCACCTCTCTAAGTCAAAGCAGTTGGGAAAATATATCTAAAAGTAATATTGTAGTGGGTGAATCCAACATTTTCTACAGATTCAGTGGTTTTGAAATAGTGTGAGGCAGGACATTAAAATTCATCAATGGACATGAATTTAGAACGGATATCTGCTGAACTTTCAGGTTGAAATCTGGTTCTACTGCAGGCTCTTCTGAGTGTCTGTGAACTTCTTTTGGGTAAAGCTCTTATGCTGCTTATAAAAATCAACACACACAAAAAACAAAGTGAAACAGCGACAACAAAAACTAGCTCTACCCGTGGTCCTACATGGTAAAGCATGTGGTTCTGAGACCTCTAATACTATTACATTTCAAGATGCTTGCAGCCATAGTTTTCAAGTAACTTTTTGATATAGAGCCTAAGGCCCAGCAACTTACAGTATTTGCTGCTGACATCTAGGCTGCTGCTGTTCTCCCTGCCTTGCACACCCCAGTGAGAAACAGAGAAAAAGAATCAAAATCTCATGGTCAGGCTTTGAACTGAATCCCAAACCAGCCCAAGCTGCACTCTTCAACCAAAAGCCAAACCAAACCCAAATGCTATTTTTCAGATTTTGTCACTGACTGAACCAAAGATTTTCCAAACACCCAGCAAACCTACTTTGAAAAAATAACTGGACCTGTGCAAAATTTTAAAAATGAAAATAAAAACCTGAACTGGAACAAAAATAAAACATAAGCGTACTTTCCAAATTCGATAGCTATTTTACTTGGTTCAAGTATCTGGTAAATTTAAGATCATAGTCTGTGTCTAAGTTAGAATTCAGCCATAGAAAGCAGTTTCATGTAATAATACAGATTGAGCATCCTAAATCTGAAAATCCAAAGTCTGAAATGCTCCAAAATCTGAAACTTTTTGAGCACTGACATGATGCAAAAAAGAAATCTTCTTGGAGCATTTTGTATTTCAGATTTTCAGATTTGGGATGCTCAAGAATTTATTGCAGACATTTCAAAATTTAAAAAATCTGAAATCTAAATTACTTCTGGTCCCAAGCATTTTGGATAAGGGATAGTCAGCCTATAGCTGAGTATATGGCAGTTATATGATTTTTCATGCTTTTATTCATTCAATCCTCCTGATACCTCCACGACAGCTCCCACTTTTGTCCCTATCTTTCAGAAGAGAAAACTAAGGCACAGAGAGATGAGAAACTTGCCCTCAACTAGCTGAGCCACAGGATCTGGGATTTGATATCTACCCTGTACCTCTGTTTTTGACAGAGACAGAGTATGAAACTGAACAAAGGGGACCATCACAGAACAAGAGGCTCCTTAGTGGAAACATTGGAACTCAGGAAGCTTTCATCATCATGGAATAAGAAATATTTTTTATTACCAAGTCACTGATATGGGCTTTCAAATTAGGCAGCTCAGGAAGTTGCAGTTTATAATTTTGTAGCACATGTTTAAACAGATTTAGCACCCTTGGGAGACCCCTCAGATCCCATAAGCAAGGCCATAGACTCTACTGTGGAGCTTCTGGGAATCTGCAGGTTGTGCTGCCTCACCTCTGCTCCATCTGCCCCCTCTGCCTGTTGTCTCTGGCTACCCACCACCCTGCCTCTTGGGAAGAAGACTTCAGAAGGACTGTGGTTTGGTTATCCTTGCCTTTGCCCTGGGCAATACCATTCAGATCTCCCCAGCTCCTTCCAGCAGCCTATGGGTTCAGAGAACCCCTCCCAGGGGACAGCTCAGGAGTGGTTCTTAAACTCTTTGGCCTGGTGAAGCCTCTGATAGTGCCTATTCCTGAGGAACCCAAAGCGTGTCTCTGACTCTGTATACTCCCAAGCAGCATCCTGGGAAGTCAAAAACAACTGCGCTTTACTCACCTAGGAGAAGGCAACAGGATTCCTTGGTGAGGCAGTTAGATGAAGATGAGCAGAACTGCTTCTGTGCCTAGGACCTTCAGAAATACCTGGGTAAGGAAGACAAGGTCCTGCACTCATACCAGTAGGGGCTCAGAGCCATCAAAATTGGGGACAAATGTTAGTGGAGCTTTATTTGCATCCTGTATTTGTGAGTGTGAGTTAAACTGTTGTAACAAATAGTTCCAAAGTAGAATAGTTCCAAAGTAGAATGTCTCAACACAATACAAACTTATTTCTCACATAATAGTTCTAGACAACTGTTCAGGAAGGTAGGGTGATTCTTTTCCATGTTTTTCAGGGATCCAGCCTCCCTCTATCTCATGGCTCTTTCCTCCTCTAGGGCATTGTGCATCCAGTTGAAGGAAGGAGAAAACTATGAGGGATCATAGGTGCAAGACTTCATGGTCAAGCCCGGAAGTGGATACCTCACTTCCTCTCACATTCCATTGGCTAAAATTCAGTCACATGACAAATCCTACTGCAAAGGAAGCTGGGAAATAGATCTAGTATGCACCAGAAGAACAGAAGAAGTGGTTTTGCTATCAGTCTCTATCACACACTGACACATTGGTGAGACCTGCAAACATTTGAAAGTTTATCAAGAATCTAAGGAGAAACCCAAGGAAATGAAGAGAGAAAGTAAAGAAATAGGAAAATGGTTACTATGGTAAACTAAATAAATTTAACCTGAAGTCACAGATTATAATGACTAGCCCTACTTAAAGAATCCATCTAATCTATCCTGAGAAAGTCCTAAATCTTTCATGCAAAAAAATGTTAATCTTCTCTACGTATAATGATTAACCATTCAAGATAAAGCAAATTCCCTTTCATAGAGGAAGGATAAATGGAATCTTCAGTATGTACATGCTTTTAATAATGATATTCTCAGTGACTAGGAAATAACCTAAAAATGCTTAGGTTACAAGGTTAAATGGAAAAAGCAGGACAGAAAGTTGTATGTACAGTGTGATGGCTGTTGTGTAACACTAAAAAAAATATTGCATAGAGAAAAGGCAGAAATAAATGTATTGAAATAATAGCAATAGTTGTCTTTGGATAAAAACTGTCTTGGAGATTCATTACCCCTAGACCTTAATTTTCTGTAGTGTTTAAAAGTTTCCAAGAGAGCATGTGTTGTTTTGTAATGGGGATAGGTTATAGAAGAGAGAATCCAATGCCCTAAGAGGCACCCCTTCCCTGTCTATCCTAAATCAGACCTTCCTCCTACTGTCTCCCCTTTCATGCTCCAGAGAGTCTCTCAAAACTAGACATCACTGTCCTGTCCCTTCTCCTCCCCTGCATTACAATGGAAGGCTCACCCTTACCAACTCACTCCCCACTGGCCCAGCAGCCATCCTAGGGTCTTTATCTTTCAATGCCAGGAATGAGGCCCCTGCTCACAGGACCCTCATGGCAGGGTTTCCTGGGATGAGAGGATCCAAGTTACAGCTGTTTTTTTCATTGTGGGAATTTGTTTATGGGCTCCCCAGCTCTGCTGCCACCATCTCCCTCCTCACCAGTACACTCCTTGCCAGGGGCAGGTGAATGCGTGTTAATGTGTGTGTTGTGTGCGTGCACACATGCACACAAATGCACGTCTTCATACTAACAAATGCCAAAGACTGAACAGAAATTAAAATCTGCAGCCAGAAAACCTGGCTGATTCACATTAAGATCCTGGTGCTTTGAGATTATGATTATGATCTGTGAACAAATAGGAGGAGACCTTCAAGCTGAGACTCAAAGAATGAGAAGGAACCAGTGGTATAAAGAGCTGAAAGGGAAGATTTTGGTGATGTGCTTGTGTGAAGGGCTTGAGGTGGGCACAGGTGTCTGGGAGGAGGGAAGGTAGCTGGATCCCAGGGAAGACTGGCAGGGCGCAGAGAGGGGCTGGGGCAAGAGTTGAGGGAAGCAGGGGTTGGATCTGGATCATGCAAGCTCCTGAAGGTCACAGTGAGAAGTTTGGGTTTAGTTCTAACTGCAATGGAAAGCCGTAGACATTTTTGTGCAGGGAAATGACATGATCTGAATTACATTTTGAGAAAAGAGATGGTGACTGGAGCAGCTGTGTGGAGGATGGATTGGTGGAAAGGCAGGAAGAGCAGCCAGTAGAGATGGTAAACCACCTGGGAGGTGACGAAGGCTGTCGAGCCAGAATCTTCTGGTGCCAGAAGGGGACAGTGGCAGCATGTGAATTCAAGACATATTTGGGGCCTTGGACTTATACTTCTAGGACTTCCTGATGGACTGCATCTAAGGAATGAGCAAGAGGGAGTGGTCGAGGAGGAATCTGAGATTTCCAGCTTGAGTAGATGCCCCTGGCCCTAGCTGAGATGAGAATACTAAGGCAGTAATGGAAAGAAAGAGTCCTATTTTAGAAGTATTAAGTATGAATTAGTTGAATAAATAATGCTCTTGACTTTCTAGGAAGGACCACAGTTGGGCCTGTGGTGGAGTATCTAAAGACATTCCACGGATCATTAAATTTAGGCCAGATTCTTAGTGATCCCCAATCATTTTTCCCTTTGGCTTCGTTTTCAAAATACCATGTCGCAACTGGAAAGCAGGCTCCTCCTTTCAACAATGAAAATAGCTGCATGGTAGTCACAGACTCAGGTCAGTTTTGGAAGATAGACTAACACTATAGGGCAGAATGGAGAGCCACGGAGGCAGCAACTCCCCTTGAGAAAAGGGAAGTAAAGCCACCTTACAGGTGTGCAGCTAGCACAGGCCCAGGTGTGTGGCAAGCAGAGGACTGGCCCAGGGACCATTGCTGGGACCGGTCGCTGTCTCCAACTCCATCCCCATCTTTTGAGCTTAACAAAACTCCAAGTGCATTTGGGCTCCAAGCTCCCTTTCTTCTGTGTGGAAGTCCCTACATATTTCAGGGAAATCTGTAACTGATTTGTGAGCAATCTGCCTACCCTGGAGCAACTTTGTCACAAAATATAGTATTTTCACATTCTTGCTGAAACCACTGATGTGTCCGCCCCCACCGCCCAGCACACTCCCACCCCACCAATCAGGGCCTCTGTGCACACATCTAACTGGTGCAGAATGGATGCCAAACCCAGCAACTGGTTATCTCCAAAATAATTTCCATCTTCCATGGAAATGCTCCAGGAGAGTGCTCCAGGGGAGTGGTTCAGGGAAGGTATACTGTAAATTAGAACAGCTTACTTTCAGAAGCCATGTTTTAGAAATTTGATAGCAGCTCCGTGTTCTTGATAACCATGCCTCTTGGAGACTGCACAGACGTCTCTGCTGATGCTGGACTGGATGCTCCCAGATGAGCTGGTTGGCTCAGTCAAATGGCTCAAGCCCCTTTCCTTGTATTCTGGGCTAGTGGAAACCCCAAATGTTTTTCACCCCTGCCCCTTCCCTCGGGGTTGAAATTCTGTGTATTTCAGAGAAACTTTATCCATCTGTTTCTGATTCATTTACCCCAACTCATCATGATATTTGTTTTGCAAGAGATATTCAGCAGCTAAAATGTTATTTTCAAGTTCTTCATAGAAAAAGGCATATGTCTTCTCATGTACAAAAAGATCATCTAGTCTGGTAAACACACATGAATTCCTACAATAATCAATAGAGACACCAAGGTGGGAGAAACAGAAATCTGACTGTGTGTCGCCATTTCTACTAAATCCCAGTTGTCAAGAGGTCAAGAGGTGACTCACTGATGTGACATTTCGGGCTTCATTCTTGGGATGTGGGGTGGGGTAGGAGTTAAGGAGACGGAAGACGCTTCCCAAGTGGTCACCTTGCCGTCACATGCTCCGCAGTGTGGCCTCCTGAGGTTCATGGGAGCAGACAAGCAGCAGAGGTGCTGGGGGTGGCAACACAGGGTGAGGAGACTTCCAGCAGATGGGACAGTGGACGCCCAGTCCCAACTGCACAGGAGCAAAGATGATGTGAAACAGTGACTTTGATCATGATGAATACCTTGCCTCATTTCAGAAAGGGTTTGGCTTGTTTATAATAATCAGTCAAAGTGCCCCAATATGAGTGGTGCATCGGAAGGGCAGCGTTTGTGAGTTGGGTGAGGACTTCCACGCAGCCAGGTCCCCTCCTCCGAGGTGGGACTCGGGGGGGAGGCCCGGAGCACAGCAGTGAGCATGGTGGAGGAAGGTGACCCCAAGAGGAAGGAGGCACACAGCTCCTTGGTGGTCCGCAGGGCTAGAGTCAGAGCCAGGCCACCAGGAGCCCAGCCTTGCTCCAAAAGGAGAGAGGGTGCTGGCTCAGGCAGCTCATTTCCATGGTGATGACGGGTCTGTGGTGGCTGTCTGTCCTTCCTGCCGACAGCCCCAGCCTTCTGCTGCCCCTTTGCATCTGGCTGTGGCCACAGCCGAGGGGGCGACGGTCCGGCTCCCGTCACCGGCAGTGTGTCTGGCAGACCAGGGCAGAGGCGCGTGGGGAAACACTGAAGCAGGGGCAGAGGCAGGCGCCATCTGGGAACGATTAGAGGCTGACTTTTATCCCGAGGCCTCTATAAACCATCCGTCAGGGAGGCAGGGAGAAAAAACACAACCTTCTTTCCCTTTTTATTTATTTATTCTCTGCTTTGTTTATAGTGACAGTGGTCACAGTTTCCCTGAAAGGAAATCACTGAAAATTACAGGGTGTTTGGTTGGGCTTTTTAAAAATTAATTTCCTCTATTTTTGCATGAATTTGATTTGCTCTCATTCCTGTCCACTAACTCACGCTTAGTGAAAAATCTCTTTTGATTTGTTCTTAATGTGGAAAATGTTGGCAGTTCCACACGGTGATTGGAAAAAAACCAAGGAGCACAAACCAGGTAGAGCTTTCTGAGGCTTTCCAGAGCTGAGCAGATGCTCTCTGTGCAGGGGGCCACAGCGGAGCCCTCGCCTGGCCTTTGCCCGAGAGCCCGGGGAGCCCTGTGCGTGCAGCCCCTTCCTCAGGCGCATCTCTTGGTTCCCCCAGGTCAAGCTCATCGCCCAAGTGCTGGCTTTGTTTCTTTCCCCTCTTCACGGCTCCTTCTCTATTTGTAGTCAAATTTATCTCTCCAAGGGAATATCCCCACCAAAGACCCACTTCTCCTGCAAGGTATCTACCATTGTCCCAAACCTGGAAATTCACTCTCTTCTGAAATTAATTCCAGATGTCCCCTCCTGACCTGGGATGGCAGTGAGCAAGGCAGGAGCCTGTCCTTTTCCTCTCTCATGAAAACAGCACTCTCCCCTGGGGGAGGGTGGCCCTACCTGGCCATTGTGGGCCGCTCCATGCAGCATGTCCTCCAGGGCTGGTGGTGGAGACACACAAACTGCTTCCTCTGGAGAGGCCACGACACTGAGCAGTGGATGAGCACATCGTCCCGCAAAAGGAGGACCGCAATTCAAAGGCCCTGTTTTCATTGGAGGAGGCTATTTAATCTCTTGGGGGAAAATAACACACATTTTTTCTCCTGAATTTCTCTGATCCCTCTCTGTCCCCAGACTTCCCAGGATTGGGTCCCACTGGCCCTGTAAGGATCGCCTCTCAGAAAAGACAGGAAGTACTCAGGTAGCTGGAGGGAATAACTGCATGAAAATCAACTTCCAGTGCGTCCCCTCCTAGAAGGAGAATCTGGAGACTAGCTCTCAGCAATGGGAGCCACATATCATTACAACAGTGACAGAGACACTGCAGTGGACTGAATGTTTGTGTGTCACCCCAGCATTCATTATGTTGAAATCCTGACCCCAAAGGTG